ACATTCCATGTGTGCCCTTCATCTATCTGTCAGAGGTCCAGCATCTCTTAGGGCAATGCAGGTTTTCAGTGCAGCTCATGTAAAGCAGAGTCAACCCTATAGCTGTCCCCCTTATGCAAAACTCTCATTGGTTTCAGTGAAAATATCTTGTGATAATTGAATGTAGGACGTGAACCCTCCAATGGATAGTCATATGTCCAGGAATTGGAAAAGGTAGCTGTTCAGCACAAAATTTCAGGTAGTTTTAAAGCACTGCAGAAAACATTGAAAAAATTTAAGTTTACTTGCCCATGTGTCAGATATTTTCAGTTTGAATCCCCTTTTATTATGTTTTTTACACTAAGAAAATTTGTATGAAAATATGGTGTTTAGTAATTAGAAGTTTATCAGTTCTTGCAGCCATGTCCCTACATGAATTGATAGTCAGTTTTGACTTGGTAAGTAACAATGACTCTGATGTCCTAATAGAAAGATGAGAACTAATTAAAATGTCCATTCAGGTGGGAGCTGGTCAAGTCCTACAGAATTTAGATCCTACATTCAGGCAAATATCTCTTATAATAACAAACGAAAGAGAAAAATATGAGAGATATTTTATTGGCAGAATTGACTACTAAAAGCTAATCTGTTCTACTTTGAGAAAGAGGTGGGAGTAGCTTTATGCCCAGAAGAAGTCAGGCCTGGGAAGGGACTGTAACTTAGGGTGCATCTACACTGCAGGGCTTAACTTGAAATAAGTTACGCAAATTGAGCTACGTCAATTGTGTAGCTTATTTTGAAATTTAAATTCCATCTACACAGCACTTATTTCAAAATAGAGCACTCTTCTTCTGACTTCCCTTACTCCTCGTACAATGAGGGTTACAGGAGTCAGAGTAAGAAGTCCTTCAGCTTGACAGTATTTTGACATTTCTAAATAACTGCCTGCTATGTAGACATGACCTAAGTTATTTCAAAATAACACTAGTTATTTCAAAATAATGTTGCTGTGTAGATGTACCCTTAGTCACAATTCCTTCCCTTGTCCTCTTTTGCTCCTGTGAAGGACATACCGTATTTTCCGGCGTATAGGGCGACTGGGTGTATAAGACGACCCCCTATCTTTTTAATTAAAAGATAGGGTTTCATCTTATACCCCAGCGCCCTTCCGCCTCCTTTGCTCCCGGTGTCCCTGGTCTGCTGGAGATGGTCCCCAGCAGACCAGAGGCACCCGATTTTTGGGGGATGTTTTTTAACATCAGAGGTCGTCTTGTACGCCGGAATATACGGTACTTTAACACCTAGTAATTTGGGTTCCAGACCAACACATTTAAAGACAAGTCTACATCTGGAACGCTCTGCTGGTACAGCTATAATATTAAACTGGGAAAGCACTAGGTTATACTAGAAAAGGG